ACAATAGGGTTAACGCCTCTGCCTTATCGAAGAAAAGAGGAGACCGGCCAGGTCTCCTTTATCTTTTGGCTGACTTCTAGTTCCCTTTAACAGATCACTCAACCTTGTTAGTTTTGGAATAATCTCGATTTGTTAATTTTGGGAAGGCGTCATACGTTTGAACAGAGCATCTTCTATTACTTCGGCAGAACCATAAGATTGTTCTAGTCTGTCCCATATCATGGCCAAGCCTGCCGCTGGATGGTTGATGTGTATTGCTCTTATGTGCTCGACATGTTCTGATGACTCTTTGCCGAGCCATTTAAACAGGAGATCCATTTCCTCACTTGGTGTCAGGTCCAACCCTCTGGTTGCGTTCTGGAAAGAACGTTTCCAGGCTCTGTAGTTCTGAGGTCTGTCGTTGAATTGAAGCAGGCCTGTTGCCACAAGCTCACGACGAGCAAAGTATCTTACAAAGTCGCTAATGTTGGAGTTTTCATTATTGTTGTTTGAAGATGTGGGGTAGGATTTAAGAGCGGGATGACTTTTGTCGTTTTGACGTCTAAGACCTTGCTCAGGAGTAGCATTGCGGTTGTCAAACCGAACATTGTGTGTCGTGTGGACCTTCTCATCTTCGTAGATGTAAGGCTGCTGTGAGGTGAGGCGAGTTGGTTGAGAAGCTGCATTGTGGCTTTGTGTATGATGGGAAAATATATTGGCTTGAGCCGGATGGAATGAGTCTGCTTCAGGTTTGATAGATGAAGTTGGAGTTTCGTAGTTTTGGCTTGGCTCTCTTTTCGCGACAACACCATCATCAAGCAGCTGAGCGTCTGTGTTTAGTGATTCAGCTTGGTCAATCACATATTGTTCTGTGCGTTGTGCAGATTCCAAGTTTGACATCAAACTTTGTCTTTCACTATTTGCCTCTACCGCAGCTTCAAGGACTTCGGCCTCAGCTACAGCTGCAGCTGTCTCTTTCTTGTATTTGAGCATTTCTATTGAGGCTTCTAGCTTAGCTTTTTCTATCTTCAGGGTCATTTCCTCTTTAGCGTAGGACATGCGTGCCTTTGCTGCCTCTGCTCTCGCTCTCGCTTTTGCAGCAGCAGACCCCGTCGATGATACACTTGAGTATGTAGCAGAACATGTAGCGCGGGACCGCGTCTTTAATGAAGTTGCTTTCTCGGACATGGCGTTGTCTGTTGACGTACCTCTGTTTAGACACCGCTGTGATGGTCATCCACTGGTTGCGTGTGATGACGTTGTTCGTAGCATCTGTCAGTTGGCTGCGTTATCTTGCCCGGTAGAAAGCGTTGTTTTACTATGCCGCCCTCGGTATATGCGCTCCGATACACCTTGGCAGTTAGACGAACTCTTTTCTGACATCACGACTCTGAAGACAATGGTCCGTTGTCCACAGGTTTATTGACATGAGAAAGAGTAAAACTAAAACACACAAAAGACATAATAAATACAAATGAAGTGCATTTTCTTCGACCGCTACTTTATATATTTATGCTTATTTACTTTGTTATTTATTAAGTCATATGGACTTTAATGACAACCATAGCAGTGCAGTTACCAACCCGAATGACTCAATAGGCCATGTGCACAAAAATATCCAAACTAAACATTGTCACAAAAATAATCACCTGAGATGATAATGAACAATAAAACAAATCAATACGTACCAACGATGCTATCAAAAAGGTATAGGATGCATGCAGACTCAACTGGATTGAAAAGCTACCAATACAAACAGCAGTTCTGAGCCATATTCTTCATTGACTTCCTGGTTCCTGTCACCTGACAAATTACATCACATTTCCTGTTTTCAAAATAAAACATAGCATTGATTTAACGTTTGTGACAAAACAGACACAAATGTTGGAAATGCAGCAACAAAACAGGACACGTCCATCCGTTACCTCACGCAATGGAATGATACTGATAACAGTGAGCCTCTTTCCACGTAGGAAATATCTACTTTAAACTTTCCCTGAGTTATAAAACTTCCGTACACAAATCAATTTTAAGAAAGAGCAAAGAGAAAGTTACTTTTTGACAGTTTTATCTAATAAAACAGGTGA